ATGTAACATCGTATGTACATCATAAATTCCCAGTTTCTTTCTTGCTGTACATCACAACCAAAAAAACTTGGCAAATTAACCGAATCATTACTGTAAACAGCTCCAAGACGTCACACAAAAAATAACTCTTGCACACCTTGCATGCCTATGTTTAATATCTCCTTGTCCTGTAGCAACAGCATACCAAGTTTCATAGGAAATCTATGGCGTGTTCTTTTACTAGGGAATCACCTTAAGTGGCTTTGTCAGAGAATACTGGACTCACCGATTGTTTGATAACTGTTTGTTTCAGATTAACTTCAAATGCAAACCAACATTTAGGGAAATCCATCCCAAGTCTTCTCATGAGGTAAGATTTTAAAGTTGTATAGAACTGTAATTTTTTTCCAAGTGCCTTTGGTTAGTCAACTAGACAGATTTGTTCAGTGTGCAGTAAAGTTTGGTTGTTTCTTACGCCTTTTTGACACGGAGATTGCATAAGCAATCTACAGTGTATAGGGTTTTAGTGGTGGTGCAGATTATGTGAATGATATGCAAATGATGTCCTTCCATCATCTGTAAACTTTTTGGAGTAATTCTGCTGACCAGTAGATAAAGCTCCTGAAATCACTGTATTAGTCAATATTTCAGGCACGTGTATTGTTTTACATTACTAGTTCTAGCTATTATTGTTGCACTAAAAATGGAAACTTTTTTTTTGCTTTCTAGGTATAGTTCATTTAACATTTCTATTACAATTCTAATCTTAAGGGCCCATTAACCCAATTTATGCGTGTGCTCGTGCGCGTTGCTAAGGAGGTGAAATTTCACTTCCAGTTACTTACGTCAGCGCGGAAAATAAAAACAACTCAATCACTAAGTCTTGCAAATTTGCTTACATTGTAGATGTTTTTCTTTGTGTTCCACAAAATGCAAAGTAAAAAAAGTACAAGCAAAGACAAAATAAGAAAAAGACAGAAAAACAAGAGCAATAGAAAGAGAAAAACTAACTCTGTGTGGCTTTGTTTGATCTTACCGAAGTGTGCTGGTGGTGTAAATTGCGCACGCGCTGATAGGGTAACTTCCAATATTTATCGGGCACACTTCCGGTTTCTTTAAATGCTAAAGGAAACGCGGTTTTTCATTAAATCCAGCCTTTTTC